TCGATGATGACCTAAACTAGAATCACCCCTCATATTGAGAGTAATTTTGAAGTTCATAAATAATCAAGGATTTTCTTCCGGGGAAAACAAGATGAGAAATGATGATAGTTATTCATAAGGTAAAAATTGATCGAGAAAACCCTAGAACGACTTTTAAAAAATAAAAGCATAAGCACTAAGACAAAAGATAGTGCTATCTAGAGTGACCCCTCTTAAGATTTGAAGTTAGAAAGTGTTAAAAATGCCAGCATTAAAAATCCTTAAAATAAAAAAAATAACAAGAGTGAACATGAAAAGGGAGTCGAGATTAGAAAAGAAGATCAATTGACAAGATGCCTATAGTGATCTCGATGAACAATTAAGTGATCCTTGATCTTTATACCCTCAAACTCCTTTTAAGCCTTTTATATCCTTTGGTTCATAAGCCAAAGCCATCGCCCGCATTACGTGCCTATTAAAGCCTTTTTTTAAAATCAATGATGGCTTGTTTATGATGATGAGTTCTAGCTTCAAATGAGAAGAAGAAAAATATTTTTAAATAAAACTTGACTTATTTGTTGTATTATAAACCATCATTTATGAATTAAATTATAAATTTTCATCAAGTGACTAAGGGTAAAAGAGAAATAAATCAAGTCTTTCTAGGCAAGATGACCTATTTAAGCTAAACTTTCTTCAAAAATTCTTTTAGTTCTAGAAATTGATCCAAGCATGACATGCTCTAGGACCAAACTTTTGTCGATCGTTTGTCGGAAAAGATGAATTCTTTTTAAAACTTTTGTGATCCAAACATATTTGGCTCATCTTAAGCTAAAAATGGATCACTATGAGAACTATATCTCGGCATTACACAATGTATTATGGCTTTTAATGAAATAAGTCAAACATCTTTCTAAATAAGATTACTCTTACGAATATCTCAATAATTTATTTTGAATAATTTAACTTATCTTAATGGAAAATTTTAAAATAGATAGCCTAATTCATGAAAGTGAAAACAAATGAAAAATGATTTTTAAAAAGTTTTTTTTTCAAAATCTTTTAAAGACAACTTCATATAATCAAGTGCAAAATATCGTAAAAAGATGAACGACATAAGCAACAATAATGAAAGGTAGATAACAAATGGTCGATCACTATCAATGTTTTAGAAATAAGATATGTTTAGATTGGTTGTAAATATATGCTAGAAGACCAAATGTTTCAACTCTTCTATTATCCAAAGCAACAAAGAAATGATCTAAGTTATGGCCAAATATTAATAAGCACGATTTTTTTACTTTGCTTCTTTTATTTTTAACTTGCCTAATATGATGTAATTCATGATCTTTTATCTCGTCGAATAACCTTTGTGTTTCAAAAGTATGATGAAAACTATTTTTTTATCTCATGCATGATTCCGTAATTAATGTCATTCATGAAACATGATGATTTATTGAATTGGCATATGATAACATTATAAGGATCTTACTCGAATTAGGTCTATAAGAGGTCAACCTTCATATAATCTATTATAAGCTTCTCACAATAAATTATAGGCAGTTGACAAAAGGCCATCTCAATCATTTTTAAACTAAATTCTTAATATGTGATGGCAAAAGTCCGGATGTTTAGGGAAAGTACTAAGAGGGCACAAAGGAATAGTAATATCCCATTTTTTTAAAGGAATGAATACCACTCAAATGATATGGGTAGTGGTCCAAGCAGCTTATCCCAATGAACATAATAATAGGGGTATAAAAAAAAACAAATAAACTCAATGAAGGTAGATGACCTAGAACTTTAAACCTATTCAAGCTAGAGACACATAAAGGAAGAGAAAAGAAGGATAAACTTATGTCTTAGCAATGATGACCTATGCTTCTTTGAAAAATCCATGTTAGTCTATATCGAGTGATCATATTTTGTCAAAAAACATGATCTTACATATCATTTAAAATCGATGTGGTTCATAACGTCAATCTAGGTTAGAGTGGTCGATCATATCTTATCAAAAAGCATGGTCTATCACACTTTACAAAATCAACGTGGTCCATCACTTTAGTCTAGGTTACAATGGCCATCATATGTTATCAAAAAGCATGATTTGTCACATCATTCAAAATTAACATAGTTTATCATATTAGTCTAAGTCGAATAGTTGATCATATCTTATAAAAAAATATGATCGATTATGTCATTCAAAGTCAACGTGGTCCATCTCACCAATCTTGGATAGAGTGGTCATTCATATCTTATAAAAAAGCATGATCTATAATGTCATTCAAAAAATGACATAGTTCATCATATCGATCTAGGTTAGAGTTGTCGATCATATCTTGTCAAAAAGTGTTATTTGACATGTCATTCAAAATCGATGTGGTTTATCACGTTAGTCTAAGTCGAATAATCGGTTATATCTTATCAAAAATCATGGTCTATCATATTATTCAAAATCAATATGGTCTATCATGTTAGTCTAAGCCGTAATGGTTAATCATAGCTTATCAAAAAGTATGATTTATCATATCATTCAAAATCAATATGATCTCTCATGTCGATCTAAGTTGGAGTGGTCGATCATATCTTATCAAAAAATATTATATATCACATCATTTAAAAATCAATGTGGTCTATCACGTTAGTCTAATTCATAGGAGATAGTCATAACTTATAAAAAAGCATGGTCTATCACGTCATTTAAAATCGACATGGTTCACCATATCGGTATAAGTCGAGTGGCTAGTCATATCCTATCAAAAAGTATGGTCTATCTTGTCATTAAAAATCGACGTGGTCTATCATGTCGACCTAAGTCATAAGTGGTCGATTATATCTTATCAAAAGTATGATCTATCACATTGTTCAAAATCGACATGGTTTATCATATTAATCTAAGTTAGAATGATGAGTTATATCTTATCAAAAAACATAATCTATCATGTAACTCAAAATTGACGTAGTCCATCATATTAGTCTAAGTCGAATGGTTAGTCATATTTTATCAAAAAATATGATCTTTCACGTTATTCAATATTAGTTTAAGTTAGAATGGTTATTCATATTTTGTCAAAAAAATATGATCTATCACATCATTCAAATCAACGTGATCCATAACGCTAATTTAAGTAAAAAAGGTCAATCATACCTTGTTAAAAAAATAACCCGTCATGTCCCTCCAAATAGACATAATTTGTCACGTCCTTCTAAGTCGACGTGATCTCTTATGTCCCTCCAAGTTGAAGTGCTCTGTCATATCATAAAAGGTTAGAGTGGTATGTCATATCTTCTAAAGTCGAGTAGTTTGTTACATCCCGTAACGTCGAGTGGTCTATCACATCTTGTAAGGTTAGAGTGGTCTACCATACCTAGCAAAGTCGATATGGTTTATTAGATCCTATCAAATTAGAGCGATCTACCAAATATAGTAGAGTTGATGTAGTCTATCATGTCCCTTCATGTTGAAGTGGTATGCCACATCCTATAAGGTCGGGGTGGTCTATCATGGCTTGCAAAGTCGAGTGGTCTATCACATCTTACAAAGTCGAGTGGTCTATCATATCTTGCCAAATCGAGTGGTCCACCAAATATAGAAGAGTTGACGTAGTCTATCATATCTTTTCTCTTCAAGTCGAAGTGGTCTATTACATCTTATAAGGTCGAATGGTTTGTCACGTTTTGTAAAGTTAAAGTGGTTTATCACATCCAAGCAAGGTCATAGTGGTTTGTCATGTCTTATAAAGTTAAAGTGGTCCGTCATGTCCCGCCAAATTAGAACGATCCGCCAAATATAGCAAAGTTAACATCATCTATCATGTCCTCTAAGTAGAAGTGGTTTGTCATATCTTGAAAAGTCGAATGGTCCGACAAGTCTTGCAAAGTCAAAGTGGTTTGTCACACTTAGTAGAGTCAAAATGGTCTATCACGTCTTATCAAATCAAAAAGATCCATCAAATATAATAAAATTGATGTGGTCTATCCTATCCCTTTAAATCAAAGTTGTTTGTTACATCCTACAAGGTCAAAGTGGTCCGTTATGTCTTATAAAGTCGAGTGGTCCGTCACATCCCGTAAGGTTAGAGTCATTCATAATGCCTTGAAAAGTCAAAGTGGTATGTCCCACCTAATAGAGTAAAAGTGGTTTGTCACATCTTACCAAATTAGAGTGGTCCACCAAATATAGTAAAGTCAACTCGGTCTATCACGTCCCTTCAAGTCGAGTGGTCTCGTCACATTTTATAAAGTTAGAGTGATTTATCATATCTTGTGAGGTCAAAATGGTCCGTTATGTCTTGCCAAAATCAAAGTGGTTTGTCATATCCCGTATTGTCGAATGGTCCGTCAAATCTTACAAAATGAATGATCGATCAAGTTTTGTTGAATGGTCGGTTGTCATTTAAATTTGATGGTTTTTTTTTATATATATTTACTCATTTATTTGTGCTATGCATTTTCATTTCAGTTCTTATTTTTATTTACAAAGCTTTTTATACGAAGTCAAAAAATAGTCTTTTAATGACTTTGTAATGAAAGCATTATAAAGAATGAGCAATTATTAACACTCAATTTTTGCCATTATTATTTTTTTCTTTTACTTTTATTTTTATTAAATAATAATAATAATAATAAAAAGACAAAAAAATCAAGTATAAAAAGAAAAAGCAAAAAAAGAGAAAAGAAAAGAAAAAGATTAAAAAAATCAATTGAAACAATTAGCTTAGATTAATTCTAAGAGGGGCTAATTAAAAAATAGAAAGTTTGAAAATAGAAAAAAGATAATTAAAGGTACAAGTAAAAAAATTCAAAACTTACGACCCTTAACTAAATTAAAAAAAGGGCATAATGGAAATAAAATAAAAAAAATTCCTAATTAATTGAGGTTTAAGTGGTCCCATCGAAACTAGAACAATTAAAATCGAACTTAAATTGATGAATTATAGAGAACTAGGGACCAAATTAGACTTTTTCCAAAAAAACCTATAAAAACCATTTCTTTGCATTTTTTTGATACATTCTACTATTCACTCACCATCTTTAACAAACTTAGTAGACTCTCTACAACAAAAAAATTCCACCTTGTAAGCTCCCTCCCTTTCACCCGAAACCAACCCTTCGCACACCACGAGTAGCTCGCCCAATCTCGCCAAGCTAACATTTCTCTCCCTTTCGCATGCCACGGTAGCTTGCCCACCACAAGCCAACGCTTTTCTTCTCTTCACACACCATAATAACTTACCTAACCTCACCAAGCTAACACCTCTCTCTTTTATAAACCACGGTAGCTCGACCACCATAGGCCAATGCTCCTCTTCCCTTCACACACCAAGACAACACCCCTCTCCCTTTCACATACCACGGTAGCTCGCCCCACCACAAGCTAATGCTCCTCTCCGCTTCATATACCATAATAGCTCACCCGACCTCATTAAGCCATACCTTGTGCGACCTCATAAGCACCCATAATAGCCTTCTCTCACCCCTTTGCTATCCATTGCTTGAGCACCACCACCCTTTCGATCACACCGTATATTCGCGAGTAATCACCAAACACTCGTATGGACTCCCTTTAGCCAACTAAACTCCGGACACCAAACTCTTTTTCTATCATTACCCATCATCGTTTGACTCCATATTCACCTACCCATTACTATCCGAAAAAAAAAACCAACCATCATCGTCCAAGCTCACCCTCACCTATTGTTATTCGAAAGCCATAATGATAGCCCATAACCCATTGTCCCTCATTAGCCTTATAACCCACTATCAAGACACCCCTACTACTAGCCAAAACCCTCACGTACACTAAAAACTTTAGCCTTCGATCTCCTATCAATCTTCACCATTATACATAATTGAACCCAAGACCTAGCCACTATCATCCTCTCATTATACACAATCACCTCTCTTGAAAAACTTGATCAAAACCTCCAAAAACCTTCTCAACAATTTTACAATTTTAGCCTAAAACACCTTTTTTTTTATAGCTTTAATCGTTAGCGAGAATCGAACCAAAAGAGAATGTAAAGTGTGTTGTGTTCCTACTTGACGAGTAATAGAATCCGATTTAACTCGTGGATAGAAATAATATATAAATTATTATTGTTGATTGATTATGTTTGATAGGAACAAATTGATGTTGTAGACTATGCTTTTATTGGTTTTTGATAGAAAAATACAATAGCAACTTTGTTGCCAACCCCTCAAGTTGTAGCAACTTTGGAAATTTCGTGGTTACTATAAAATTTACGGTTACTTTGTAAATTCATAGTAACTTTGGTAGCAACAATAGCTTTGACTACTTGCACCGACTTTAGAGAGATTTTCGATCACTTTAACATGACTCATACAATATTTTAGCAATGAAGAGCATGTTCTCTTTCCTCAACTAATTGAATAATCGACTATTAATGAGGACGAAGAGAGTAGAACCGACTTTAAATTGGACATTTGAACTACGTAACTTTTTGGATAAAACTCCTACAATGATTGTACTTCTTTAAAATGTCAATGAAATTATCGCATTTCATTTGTGTATTCATAGTTGAAGTGAATGTTGGTGTAATTGCCATTATGAACAAACCGCTCTATTTTACATCCGTATTTTTAGTACGAAGTTTGTGCCTATTTTGTGGTTTGATTAATTTTGCATACTTGATTATAATGTGCCTAAACGAGTAATTGTAATATCTAAAACGTACTATCTAATTTCACTACTTTTTGATGTCATTTTACATACATTCTATTTGTTAAAAAATAAGTCATCGATGACTTTTCACCTATATGGAAGAAGCCACCAATGGCTCTAAAATCATTTTTCTCTCAAAACTATTTATGGAAACAAAGTTATTAATAACTTTTCACTTATATGACAAATTCATCAACAATTTTGACATAATTTTCATGCATTCCGTTCATAAAAAAAAACAAGTCATCGGTGACTTCTCACTTATGTGATGAAATCGTCGATGGCTTCCAAACCAGCTTATTTGCTCCTTAATCAAGCCAAAGAAAATGGTCGGTAACTTTCTACTTGTGTGATGAAGTTGTCCATAGCTTCCTAAATTTATGACTCGAAGTCAAAAAAGGCTTTTCACTTGTGTGAGTGAAGTCATCAATGACTCGTTATTCTTACCAATAAAAGATTATCCATCTTTAAAAACTCACCTACTTGTCGATGATAGGACGTGCTCAATAAAGACCAGTTGAAGTTCTAACTTCCCCCACCTTTCTCCTTTGTGTAAAAGGTATTGGCTTTAAACTAGCCTAACCCTCCTCCCAAACTACTCTATTTTATATATAAATCCCTAAACTATTCTATTTTATACCTAAACATCCAAACTAATCTGTTTTTATATTTTAACAAAATGAACTCATTAAATAGGCATAGAAGCATAACACAATAAAAAATTCAGATTTTTATTTTTACATGCAAATAATATAACCTACCTTAGGTAGGACGGGATGACGATGATGTGATATCTTTCCCATACGTAACCGATTTCTTACACAAATATCTATGCAAACTAGTATGTTTAGGGTTTTCTAATTTTCACCAATTAGTTAGGTGGGGATTCTCATGTTTCATCCCCTCGAGCCCACGTCAACAGCCTATCTTTTCAAAAACATAATTGACTTCTTATTTAGAATCTCTAAATCCAAAGCCATTTTAGGTTTTCTAATTTTTTTTAATACCGGGAGGTGATTCTATAAATTTTTTCTTAATTCTTTTTTCCCTTTGAACAATTAAATTTTTGGAAGTTTTCTAATTGTCGAGCAACGACAAGGGTATTAAGCCAAAAACACTTATATTATAATAATATTGTATAATAAGACAACATAAATGATATTGCAAATCCTCCACCCCTCCCAAGAAACGTAACAATCCACCATTTCATATAATTATATACTTTTATAGCATGCATTTGCCCTCTAGAAACATAGCAATCCACAGTGGGCATTTGCCCTTAAGAAACATAATAATCTACCATATCATGCAATTATATACTTTTATAGCAGGCATTTGCTCTCAAGAAACATAACAATCCACTATATCATACAATTATATATTTTTATAGCTGGCCTATTCTTATAAACACTTAGTGTGATGTGTAAATAGGTATACTTTTATATTAATTCAAGGTTCTTGTCCTTAAAATAACTTTTTTTTTAATGCATGGATTAGGATACAAATGAATTATTTAAGATAGTCTTTGCGAGTATATAAAAATTAATTTTAGAACACTCTTATAATTGAAAAAAAAACATTAATGGCTAAATTTATTTTTTATGTCCTTATATAACAAGATGATTTTTTAAATATATTTTTATATTCTCAAGTGAGTTAAATTAATTATTGAATATACGTTAACTTTTCAATCTATCATTTTTATAAGATTTTCGAGTCAAATCATCGAAATTAGTAATAATTTATACATGACTAGTTTTTATTTTTAAAATACTTTTGCAAGTCGGACAAATAAAAAAATTTTATGTGAAAATCACGTAATTAATTCTAGTAGTTTGGCTACCAAAAAAATAAATTAGAAAATTAACCTATATTTAAAGACAAAAATTAACTTAATTAAATATATAATGAAAAATTAAAAAATTATATTTTACTCTATGAAAAAACAGATTGAACCATCAAAAAAAAAAAAAAAGGGACAACCCTATCTTGCCATTTGCCACTTGAGAAAATTCTTGCTTGAGTCAAAAGCATTTTAGACTGAAAGTCACAATAAGGTGGGGTTAGTTCAACTTTTTTGGTATGTTCAAGGACCCACTTCTTCAATAATCAAAAGGAAAAAGAAAACCAGTTTCTTCCCGTGGAATCCAGGTGTATTGATAAATCAATATTATATAATATTCTTAATCATTACAACACTCCAACCAGTTAGCTAGTCTTTCTGTTATTTATTTATTCTTTTTTAGCATAACCTGTTAGTATTTTTTTTGTTTTTTTATTAGCATTCATATATCTTTACATAATAAAATAATTTTCAATTTATTTTTATATTTTTAATTAAATCGTTTTCTTAACATTTTTTAACTTTTTAATTAATCTATTCATATGACAAGGCTTTCCTATTAAATCATCAAAATTAGTCACAAGTTTTTTTTTATATATATATTTATATAATTAAAAACTTTCTATTTATCTGGTTCGTGTTCGCAAAGGCGAAGATGGAGAAGAAGAAACTAGATGTAACAAATGACCTAATTTATATAGACAAGTAATATAATTCTATCCAGCTCATAGCTAATTAGAAAAAGAAATCTATCCTATTGCCTTAGAGTAAACGGGTTGGCATTACAATGGCACACGCAATTACTTTTGTCTTTTAGGACATCAAGTCCATGTTGGAAAGAATCAAAATCAGCAATTCTTGATATCATCAACCAGTTAATTTTACTATTTTAGGGTTTTGTAGGGATGATTCCATGCTTGCACTCAAAGCTCAACTATTGGGCTTTTCATTCACTTGTTAGGAAAGAATCGAAATCTTTTCATTGTCAAGACTCAAGAAGTTGTGTTTGGTTTTTCCTAGAAACAGACGATCATAAAAATGTCATCATATAAGATCAGAATGGATTCATTCTTACAAAAATTGTGTATTTGAATGTTTTTGATTCTGAAGTTCAAACTCGACTATTTTTTTTTTTTTAAATTCAAATCCTGTAAATTATAAATTACTCTTTCTTTTTCGTGAAACGAATTAATTAGTTTTTTTTTTTTAAAAAAAAAACTGATAATATCATGTTCTTTTTGTTGATTTTTTGGTTGTACTGTTTAAGACGGATTGAATGAAAAGGAGCAAAATAAAGTGTAGGGGAGAATGAAATTTTATGTAGTTTAAAACGCAAAGAAAAGGTGAGGAAAATATGAGTGTGAACAAAATGGACATACCAAAACCATTCCTTGCAAAAACTGATGAGAAAAAGGGTATGATATTTATAACATTTTTTTTTTGTCAAGTATAAAATTTATTTTTATGTTATTTTGATTCTACACTATACATAATTCTTCAATGTCTTGTTATTTCATCAAACTTTTCTATATTTTTCAAGTTTTTTCTATATCTTTCAAAAAAAAAAAAAACAATTATGTATCATAAATTATAAACTAGCCTTTCTAGTTTTATAAAATAAATAAATAATTTTTTTTTATTTTAAAAATCATTTAATCGACGTTAATTATGTTTAATTTAATCTTATTTTATTTAAAAATATTTTTTTTCTCATCAATTTTTTCATAATTTTTATTTATTATATTTTTTTTAAAAGAAAAAATATTAAAAAGAGCATCAAGTAGACAAAAAAAATAAAAATAAACAATTAGTTTTTAAAAAAGAAAGACTAATTAATTCATTTTTGAAAACTAGAAGGACTAATTTATAATTTAACCCGATCATTTATGGTTCGAAAGTGATCACCAGCTGGAATTACAGTTTATCCAAATTTGAGAAATGTGATTTGCTTTGTCAATGCAAGTAGACCCATTCCACTGAATTAGGTGAGCCGCCGTATGAAATTGGCATGATCTATTTAAAAAAGAAAAACAGTTTCTACCTTTTAGATGAGAGTAGTTTATTTTTTAAAAAAAGTTCGAAATTTTTAGAAGGAAGAAAAAGATTGTGTCAGAGAGAAACTCAGCAAGCACGAGTTCTTTGCTCTTTTATTTGTGCCTGCGGGACGCATCCTCCATAGATATTTATAAATTAATGGAGTAATTAGATAAAGATGGTGTAAAAGCAACTTCATGGTTTTGTCTACCAGCATTCATGGGGGTAGAGTTCAAGATTTTTGTAACAAGTCACTAGATTTTGCTTTAAGACGTACGAGGTAATGATTTTTTGATGTGGGATTGGTCCAAGTTGTTTTTTATAAGTTTTTTTTTAATATAGAATTATCCCAAATAAAAAATTAATAGTGGAATTTCCTTCGTTAATGAAGACATGAAGTTGGTTCCGAAGGAAGTATCACTTCAAAACAGATAAGATGACTGTGGTCTGTAGCTTGCACGCGCTGTATAGACAAGAAGCGGAGAAGTGGGGATCCACAAAATGAGCAATTTTATGTTCCTTGCAATCCACTGCCAAACGTTGTTGACGTGAAAGCAAGGCAAACAGAACAAGCGTACTATACGCGCCCATCCCTTATTTATAAGCGCAAACAAACAGAACTCCTTCATTAATCCACATAGTCAACACTTCCCCCAAGTGGCAGATATCTTCAAAGAACCTAAAGACAGAATTTGTCTGTTTGATCATTTGTTTCAGGTAAAATTTTCATCTTTAATCCTTATTTCTTCAGAATTCCAGACTTTTATTGTTGGGTTTGTTTTAATGTATGTGTATGTTATGTTTGCATTGAATTTCGATCATGTTTTTGATGTAAAGATCAAAACTTTGATCGTGTTTTGGAGTAAAGGTCAAAACTTTGATAATGTAACCGGGAAATCAAGATAGTTGGAACCATGATGGCAGAAGTGTGAATTTTTAGAGTTTTGACTTTAGTTTTTGCTGTTGGAGTCAGTCGAAATTATGATGACATTTGTCCATGTGAATGATGACGGGGTTATGTTTTAAAGGTAGAAGCAGGTGTCAGGTGACATTATCTGACAGACAGACCTTGCTGCTTTATTTGATCCTTATTCATCTTTTTGTGCTCATTGAAGAGAATGAGAATGGATTAGTTTCTTTTATATATAGAGACAGATTATGGAGCTGTTTCTTTTGAGATCTGATTGATCACCAAATGTAACTGAATTTGGTTCTTTATTGTTGTTATATTAGGGTGTGGTAATATTGGATGTGGTGAGTCAACGAGTGAGAAGATGGGTTATTGCAAGGCCTCTTGCGGTGTTCTTTTGGTCTGCTTCTTTGTTGGTCTTTGTTCTGTGTATCAATGTTCTGCTACTGAAGTTGATGCAAACCAGACAGCAACATTGATCATTAATGCCTCCAGTGGTCGGCCTATTCCTGAAACACTCTTTGGAATTTTCTTTGAGGTTAGTTTCTTCACCTTCAAGTTAGGAATTCAATTCGCATCAAGTTAGTTCATGGTTTGTTTAAACTACAATGCATAAATAAGGATTTTGACTATGGACAGTGAGCGTAAATTGTTATTTCTGCAGGAGATAAACCATGCCGGAGCTGGTGGGATATGGGCAGAGCTTGTAAACAATCGGGGTAATTTACAAATTTATTAATTTCTGCAAATGAAAAGCAGAATGAAGAAAGGAAGGAAAGTTTCAAAGAGTGCAATTGTCCAATTACAGTCAAAACTAAATTTCCAGTTCCAAGATTTCAATATTTAAAATTTTTTCCCTAGTTGTTCAGTGCTAAGTTTTTAATTCCATCCAAATGTGCCTTGATAAAAGATCTGCATTTTTTTTGTGTGAGTTATCTTTGGGGTTAATAGCAACTTTGATTATTAAGTATTCAAGCCTTTCTACATTTATCTGGGTATTTTGGATTCGGGATTCACATGAACCTCTTTGATTTGTTTCCTTTGTTTCCCAGGTTTTGAAGCTGGGGGCCAAAACACTCCTTCAAATATTGCTCCCTGGTCTATAATTGGTGATCAGTCATCTTTAGTTGTATCTACTGACCGTTCTTCTTGCTTTGAGCGGAATAAGGTTGCTCTCCGAATGGATGTGCTCTGTGACAGCGAGGGCAGTAATACTTGCCCAGCTGGTGGAGTTGGTATATACAATCCAGGGTTTTGGGGAATGGTGAGAACTAGTTGATACTAGATGTGATAATTTATTTTGCATGCATTTATTGACAAAAAAATTGTTTTGTATGTGTCTCTTATATTAATCCCTCAAGGAAAAGCTGGAAATCATACCCCTTTGTCTTTGACTTCTGTTTTCTTCAGAATATTGAACAAGGGAAGGGCTATAAGGTGGTTCTTTATGTTCGTTCTCCTGGACCAATCAATGTATCTGTGTCATTGACGAGCTCAGATGGGTTGCAGACATTGGCAACTGCTAGCATTGTGTGAGCACCTCTTGAATGTATTTTGCAATGAATGGGTTCTTTCTTACTAGGAGTTTGTGTTTCTCATGCTTTCCTTCTTTTCAGAGATTCTGATGTTTCAAACTGGACAAAGGCTGAGGTTCTATTGGAAGCCAAAGGAACTAATCCTAATTCAAGGCTTCAGTTGACAACATCCAGAAAAGGTGTAATATGGTTTGATCAAGTGTCAGCTATGCCTTTGGACACATATAAGGTATTTCTTATTCTTCAGCACCTATCACCAAGAAGAATAAGTCTTTCTTCGTGTGGTTTGGGAAAGTTTAAGCCACTTAGCCATGTGGAAAGATAATATCTGTATAGAGGATGAAGATGAGCATGAGCAGGATCTGGCTTCATATTCTAACTTGGGTAAATTTAGAATTGGAAACAACTTTGCAAGTTGAAAACCATAATTTTAGCTTACATATAGACAAGATTTAAGCTTTGATGATTTATGTAGGTTATAGAGAATAAAGTCTGAATTTGTTGGTTTTCGAAAGTGTGAACTCTTTTTTTACCGAGAATTTATGCCTCGTACATAAATTCCATTTGTATCTTAAGTATCTGTACCGCCTCTGTTTTGCCACAGGGGCATGGTTTCCGAAGTGAGCTCATTGAAATGCTTGCTGATATAAAACCCCAATTTCTCAGATTTCCAGGTATGTATGCATTTTTATGCAGAACTCGTTTCGGCTGAGGTTATGAGAATTTATATAGTGGAATCTGGGTATCCTATATTGCTCGGGGAAGTCTATGGCTCCGCATTTTTATCTCTGCCTAAAATTGTTTTACAATTCATAATTCTTGCTATTTTTATTGAGGCTTTTGCTTCAAGGCTTTGTCTTTGCTGCCCACCAGAAATTTTGTGAGTGTGACTAGGATTTTTTATGGCCTAATCCTTTTTTGTTTTTGGGAAATGGATTTGAGGCATCAATAGAAAACCAAGCAGGAAATCTGATGGCCTAATCCCCTCTGTTTTTTTTTTTTTTTTTTTTTTTTTTACCATTTCCCTTGAGCGCCTTCGTTTTTCTTCCACTTTCCAAGCATTTCAACCCTAAACTGCAACCTCAAACTCCAAATTTGGATCTGCAGGCCCCTTTCTGGTCACGTGTTGGCTTGATCTAACACCACAATTTCTCAAATTAATGCATCATCTGTTTGACTAGTTTTATCCTTCCGTTCACTGCTCTCCTTTTGTTCATTTTCAATATATGTTTGGGGTCAGTCCCTTCTGTAGATCAGATCTCAGTATCTCACTGATGGGGGATTTTCTCCAATCATATTGCATTAGGTGGCTGCTTCGTTGAAGGCGAATGGTTGAGAAATGCATTTCGCTGGAAGGAAAGCATTGGACCCTGGGAGGAGAGACCGGGGCACTTTGGTGATGTTTGGATGTATTGGACTGATGATGGAATTGGTTACTTCGAGTTTCTTCAAGTAGGTATTTGTCATGCCGGTGCATGATTATGTAAACTGTGGCCTGTGCTGTTCATTTACACTTGGACTTGCTCATTGCTTAAGCAGATATAATTTACAGCTACTTATTTCTGCAGCTATCTGAAGATCTTGGTACAAGACCAATATGGGTGTTCAACAATGGTACTTTCTTGCACTTCATTTCTGGGCATTTCCCTGTTTATCCTGTGCAGTTGATCTCTCTCTCTCTCTCTTTTTTTTTTTTTTTTTCACTTTCCTTTCTTGCTTCATTAACTTGGCAGGAATCAGCCATCAGGATCAAGTTGATACTGCCACCGTCTCCCCTTTTGTACAAGTATGCAAATCCAATGGTTTCTTTTTTTCTAATACCCCCCACGCAAATATGCTGACTTATCCATTGACGCAATTGAAACAGATCCAGTCCTGCTTAGATTAAACTTTCATGATTATATAATTATAAAGGAATAAGCTAGCAATTTTTCTTTTCGAATCTTGACTGGTATGGAAGAAGGTTTAGCATTCATCAGTGGTGAAGATGCGGACTAATGTAAGTGATGTCTGCAGCTATTTGTTGGGTTGGGTGGGTGCAGCTGTAAAGGCAGGGTAGAATATCGTGCTTGAGAGTTTAGGAAAATCTTGCGATTCATTAGCCTTACAAGATTCAAATCTTTTTTTCCCCAAGGTGTCTAATATTATATGTTTTGAAATCCACAACCTGCTAGCAGGTACAAAGAGGGAAAAGTAGGAGTGGAAAGAAATACTAAGGATTATACTAACACTGATGCGAAATGCAGGAACTTTTTTATTCCATACTGTTTTATAAAAATGTTTGTCTCAATTGCAGGAAGCTCTTGATGGTCTTGAGTTTGCTAGGGGTGATTCTGATTCTAAGTGGGGTTCTGTCAGAGCCGCAATGGGGCACCCAGAGCCTTTTGACTTGAAATATGTTGCTGTCGGGAATGAGGATTGTGGGAAGAAGAATTACCGAGGTTTGTGCAACTTTTGAATCCATGTTTTTGTCTGCACACAATAACGTGCCTGGAACACAAACTCCAATATTCCTATACAAATATGTTAATTGCATTAGATGAAAGAGTCAGGCTTGAGTCCATAGCAAGCAGCTCTACTTAGACATCCTATATTTAGATGCAATTAATTGAGATGATTGTTTTAGCTCAAATTTTCTTTTATCTTTCATGAGTCCTTACAATATTTAGGGGTTTACAAGTTTGAGGCCCTGATATATGTACACTCATGACCTATTATTGAGATTGCAAAGATCAGTGGCTATGATATAGTCTCATGATCTCAATTCTGCATCAAGTTAGACTTGACAAAGATTCTGTTCACAAATAGTGTCTTAAGGTCTGCAGATATTACTCTTCACTTCAGGTTGTGGAAGACAGATCAGTTTCAGAACTCAAATTTGTGTGCTTCTTTTTTACCAGGAAATTATCTCAAGTTCTACGATGCCATAAAAAGTGCTTATCCTGACATCAAAATAATCTCAAACTGTGATGGGTCTTCTCGTTCTTTGGATCACCCAGCTGATTACTATGATTTTCATGTAAACATTCTATGACAATGTTCTTATTTTCTATTTCTTTTTTGCAGTATTGCATATATGCATATTTTTATCTGTCAGGAAACACAATATTAACCCTTTTTTATTCTTTGAACTAGATTTATACATCTGCCAGCAGCCTGTTCTCTATGAATCGTCAATTTGAGCGAACATCCCGCACTGGTCCAAAGGTGTGTAATATGCTTTTTGACCAACTACTGACAAATATATGTGACTGGTAGTCATGGGGTTTGCTATGTTTCAGGCTTTTGTGAGTGAGTATGCTGTGACTGGAAAAGATGCTGGCACAGGAAGCCTTTTAGCAGCTCTTGCTGAAGCTGGATTCCTCATTGGGCTGGAAAAGAACAGGTCTGTAATAGTTGTTTCAGCACTCTTAAGACATTTGTCAATGTGCAAGTCAGTGCTTGAGGATCTGCAAAGTTTGATGCCTTCCCACTCTCTGTTCCTGTTGAAGAGGGGGTGGACAAATTTATAAGGAACACCTTTTAAACAGTGAATTCAAGAAATTCTCAGATCACCAATCATGGTGGTTCTGGTTCAAATTTTGATGCCATGGCCAAAGTTACCTTTTTGTGTTTTCATGCTCATTATGAAAATTCCAATTCTTGAAGCTGCTATTTCTCCATTGCAGTGATATTGTGGAAATGGCAAGCTACGCACCACTTTTTGTGAATGCCAATGATAGGAGGTACCAGTTTCATTCTATTCCTTAAAATTAATTTGAGCATGCATGGCAAGGAATCTCATTTCAATTTCAGGGTACTATGACACTGAAAGAAACTTTTCCTTGAAGGTGGAATCCAGATGCAATTGTCTTCAACTCCTCAACGCACTATGGAACTCCAAGCTACTGGGTGCAAAAATTCTTCAGAGAGTCGAGCGGAGCAACTCTTCTTGATGCTAAACTACAAACAAATTACTCTACACTTGTTGCATCTGCAATTACTTGGCAAAACTCGGTGGATGGGGAAACTTATCTGAAAATAAAGGTATGGAAATTGCTTGCATTGAACTTAAATGGTTTCTAATACCAGCATATCTGCAAAGTCATGTCCCACAGACGAATTCTAAGTTTCTATCATTTTTTTCCCTTTCGTGTCAATGTTGCAAGTTTGAATGCTTTTCCAATTTAAGCATGTGACCTGATCTATTGAGTCAACTTTTATGGTCATCACAACACAATAAGCTTACGCTGGTTGACAACAAACACACACTTATAAGATCGAGTTATAAGATTTTCTGTTCGATTTTTTCGGCCAAGTCCTTACATTCAGGCAAATGCATTTCAGATAGTGAATTTTGGGAAGAGTAAAGTGAATCTCAAACTTTCTATTGATGGATTGGGGCTCAAATCACAATTGTCTGGATCAACACAAACTGTGCTCACTTCTTCTAATGTAATGGACGAGAATTCCTTCACGAATCCAAAGAAGGTATCTCATATCTGACATATTTATCATAACTCTCACGAACTTTCAATCATCTAAGAACCTTTCAAATCTGCTACATTTGTTTTTACACATTGATGTGTGTGATCCTGCTGAACTGTTTCATCTTCGTCACATTTGCAGGTGGTGCCAGCCCAAACTCTGCTTGAGAATGCTGCTAAAGACATGGATGTTGTACTCTCTCCATATTCTTTAACTTCACTTGATTTGTTAACAGAATCAAGCAATATCAGGATGCCACAAACTGATTCTTTCTCTAGATCATCATTTTAGAAAAAATAAACTAATGTAATGATACGAAACAATCTAAATAATGTTATTTGTGGCTGGTGATCTTTGCCTGCTACTTATGTTAATTTAATTGCCAAATTACATATTGTAAAATATATCTTTAATGTTGCCTTTCCATCTCAAAGCTGTGTGAATATCTAGCAATGGCTAAAGAACTTCTCATCCACACAACAGTAAGAAACCCTATTTGATGTTATAATTACCTAAACAAGAAAATGAAAATAAAATCTTGGGTTGGTTGTCTGTCTGTAGCATCAGCAAGGCAGCATTTGCCAGGGATCTTTCTTGCAGCAATGTAACTATAATCTGTCCTTCCATCTTTCTAAAGGCTACTTCACGATGTTGCATGTCTTGACTCCTTAGAGTCGCGCAACAACCTAACTGTGTTCCGACGCGACCAGATCTTATTGTTCAGACATCAAACCCTATTTTTCTTAGCCCAATTTCTGATTGAAGCTAGTCTTGCATTACATGAGGATAGGATAGGGTTCGATGTCCATGTTAAAAAAAAAAAAACTAATCTAATTTTATTCCAAAAAGAGAGGAACATGAAGTTTTCGAATTTAACGTTGGAACCAAAGCAATGAGAAAACCAATAGAAAAAAAATTATATGGAAGCCGTATCACACATGAATATGTTTTTTTTTTTTTTTAATAAAAAAAAGGGAGTGGGTTTTGCTATTGTAGTTATTGTGAAAGCAACTTTACGTATTGAGAGGCCAAGTAAGACAAGGAATCCAAGGTTCTTTTTGTTGCATGTAAAGAAAGATGGAGTTATCATAGTTTATACTAGCTGATTAAGGACGTTACGCTGCGATTTAGATAGAATAAAATTATTTCAAAATTTTAAAATTTTATAATTAAAATTTTGTATTTAATTATTTTTTATGTTTTTCATAATTTTCTATTTATAAAAACATGATTTATTGTTATTTATGCATTGATTGTTAAATAAAAAACATTATAATAATTTAAACTAAAATACTAACCAAGAATTCAAAAAAAAAACTTTTAAAAAATATATTTTTCTTAAGATTGTATCTAACAAATAAACATATAATTAATGTATAAACTTGTATAAAAATTAACAAATGAAAAAAATAATATTTATTCTTATTTAATGCTGATTGGAAGATTATTTTTTGAAAGTATATGCATTTGATTTATATATATTTATCTATAAAATAATAAAAAATTTTAGCACAAGAAATTGTATTTGAATCACTAGGTGGTTCTTCTTAATTTTTTTTTAATTTTAAAGAAATTGATTCTATAATGTTAAAAAATATATATTCATAGCAAATAGTTGGTGTTATGTGTGAAGATATATAACTAATTTTTGATAAAACCGATGATTCAAAGGGTTTTTTTCTACATCATGACTATACTTACCGGACTAAGACAAACTATCCGAAATACACTTTTAATTTTTAACGTTAAAATAATTATATATATTCTATTATCATTTAAAAATTCTAAGAATTCATGATATATATATTATATCAATTCATTTTTTAAAAAAGAGAAAACAATCATATTTTAAAATTTTATTATAAAATCTAAATATATGGAAAAAATAAATTATATTTATCGGTAAATAAAATTTTATTAAAAATAAAAAATTAATTGAATTAGAATTCATAAGAAACGACAAATTTAAAGAATAAAATTTAAAAAATAAGAATAATATAATATAAAATATAAGTTAATTTTAAAATATAAAAAGATATTATAATATTTTATCCTCATCTCGTTGCGTAAAAAACACAAATAATCACACTAATGTTCCGTAATTTTCGCTCAAAAATTCTCAATTAAAAAAAATAAAGAAGGAAAACAAAAACAAAAACAAAGCACCAGCCCGCATAGGCCAAGATTAGAAAGATGGTTTTTTTCATTTTCGACGACTCGCAATTTCGACAAACTAGATTTTACCGAAAAATCACTAAAAAGTCGATTTCTTAATTTTCAACCCCCAAACCAAATTCAACCCTATTTTTTTCTCAAAAAAGATCTCAAAATAAAAAAAATAACATGAAAAAACTTATTTAAAATCTCTAAACTTATTTTAATACATACAAAACACACAAAAAATTAAATCAAATAAAAAATCAAAATATTTTCGAATCTTGATATATTTCAATCATTTCATAACTTGTGACTATCACAAATAGATTTTACTTTGTGAGACGAACAAAATGATGGTAATTGCGACCGTCAAGTGGTCGTAATGGATCGCGTTGTCCCTCTCTCCCTCTCTCTCTCTTTGTTTCCCTCTTCTCTAAGTTGTCAAGGGCGAAAATGCACATTACAAATGAGTGTGAGTGGAATGAGTGTACGTGAATAGTAAAGAAATAATAAATAACCCATGTGTTTTAGTATTCTTGTTGATAATTTTAAATAATTCAATAAACAAAATTAAATTATAAATCAAAATGAAATACATTAATTCAAAAAATTAAAAAATATCAAACAAAACACGAATATTTGAAACTAAAATTTTATAATACAATAATGAACACCCCTCAAATATTTTACAAAATTAATAAAAAATTAAATCGAATCTACTTTAGATAACCATATAAAGTTATTTTGTTAATTAATACAACTTCAAATTATGTCAACTATTTAAAATCAACTCTCTATTAAAAAATACCTCATTTGTGTTAAATATGCGTCTAATTATTCATATGTAGTTTAAGACCATTTTAAACATTTTAAAATTTAAGAAATCAAACAAAAACATACTTTTGATACAAGGACAAAAAAAATTATCAAAACTTACAACAAACTTATTCCAAAGAAAAGAAATAGTGGTATAGTAGAAAAATTATTGTTGAACATTAATTGCTTTGTCCAAGCAAGAAGCAAGTTACCAAAACGGGAACAAAAAAGGAGAATAAAAAAGAAACAAAAACTCGGGTAATAATGTAATCGGACACCACCATTAAGTGGCATAACAATAATTATAAAGGTTTTAAATTAACAACTGGAAAGAAGAAAAAATGAAGGTAAATGAAATAAAAGAGAAGATGAACGGCTGAAAGGCATGGAGAAGTGTAAGTAGAGTGCACTTGAGTCACAATTCACAATGACTCTAAGTATTTGTCTATAAGAAAGGAACGATATTTTACCCATGTGTTTTAATTTTCTTGTAATAACTCTCTAATGTGTGAAACCACTATGTCCGTTACATAGGTTAGATTTGATCCAACTCAAATATTTTATTACTTGACATTTACCGCAAATTAATTTATTTGTTTGAATAATAATACTTCCTCTTCTTTTTTAAATGGTTATAAATATTATATTTATTATGTCTATATATATATATATTGTTTTAGAAGTATGTCAATGTAATAATATAATATAAGACAAATAATATTAATGCATGTCATTTATGAGTGAAGATTATAGATTCTTTAATAATAAACATCTCTAGATAACAAAAATATATATTTTATTACAAGATTAATCGCATAATTTGTCCCTTTCCTTTTGACATTTTCTTAATGAGAGCCATCTACTTTTTATTGCATTCTTCTACTTCCTTAATTTTCTTAATGAGATCTTTATGATGGTTTTTTGTTCAATTTTATGAGGAAACGTGACGAGTGGAAAAAAATTTATATCCCACTCTTTACTAAACATGCGGCCTAGGCCATCCATCATCCCACTAGTCAATCCGGTAGCAACCACACTTTCTATCGAGGCATTCTCTCCTGCTGGACGGTTTTCTTATGCAATAAACCCATAAGCTCCATTTATGAAATTCACGCTTATTATTGACTTTACTAGTGACGAGACTTACAAGGTTAAGATAATGGAAGAACCTAACTTGAATAACTTGTCAATAATTAAAGTGCCTTCGGGTTTTGAGGGTACCAACATGTATGATCCCGTGAGGGTCATTGAGATGTGCTCGATGCCATATATGATAATTCCTAAAAAGTTCGAGTTCCAAAATTCATTAGGCACTCAACATCTAATGACTCACATGTGAGCATAATATAACAAGATGGATTAGGTTGTATATAATGAAAAGTTGCTAATAAACTTCTTTCACGAAAGCTTGAGTGCATCCCTTTGAGTTGGTTCATGTGACTAGACAGTGTCAAAATCAAAAAATAAGAGGATCTAGTTAATGCTTTTATGAAGCAATACAAATTTAACATGAAGGTTACTCTAAATTGATCTAGTTGGCAAGGTATGGAAAAAAGCCTAAGAAAAACCGTCAAGGAATATGCCCAAAGGTGGCATGAGGTGGGAGCTTAAATTCATTTGCTACCACCCGAACAAAAATTGATCACCATTTTCTTTCAAAATATCATACTTTGAGTATTTGATTGGGAATTCCTCTTCTAATTTTATCGACATTGTCATCATCGCTAAGAGTATAGAGCAAACGATTAAAGGTGGAAAGATTTTTTATGATTCCGAGAAGAAAAATAATGGCAATACCAAAGAGGATGGTGAAGTATGTCGAGCTAGAATTGAATCATCTCAAGCCGAAATTGATAAAGTAATCAAAGAAGATATGACAACCATGGAAACCCCAGTAACATCCAAAACCCTACATCTACTCAATTCACATTTAATCTAACAACCATAATGGCTACCACATTCCCAACCCAAATACAACAATATTTGATAAATCAAACATGCCTATTATATCCATCAAATCAACCAGGTCAATCCTATATATCTAATCAAGCTTATCAAGCAAGTCAATTCCTCTAAATTGTTAGACCTTTCCAAAATCTATCTTTTTTTAACAATCCACAAACACATACAATCCTTACCTCCATAATAACCGAAAGTACAAAGAGAGTTTGAACAATTACCATCTCTACCTTTCTCATTGGGTGAAATGTTTGAGTGCTTGGTAAGCATGAGACGAGATCACCCTAATTCTAGCCTAACTTCGATAAACCTTTTTATCCTTCATGGTACAAATAAGATGAGAGACACGAATATCATTC